TTCATGATCTGCCTGTTCCGACCCTGTCTGCCTGTTTTCGACCTTGGATGTTTGCCCCTTATTGGATTTGTTCGCCTGTTTGACTGACCTCCCGGTTTTGACCCTGCCTGAACTCTAGTAAAAGAACTGAACTTGTATCTTGTCTCCGAGTTGTGCTTTTGGGTTCTAGTATCTGTAAAGAGTTGTGTATGTGTGTATATGGCAACAGTCAGACTCAGTGATGTGGAAATATTGGCTATGGATTTGTTTTGGTCTCATTCATCTCTTCACCTCTCTCCTCTGTTTTCGCTCACTCTCTGATAACATCAGGTCATCTCTACTAAATGACGGATCATTCTACCACAAACACCAATGTGCTGAAAGTGGACCAATTTATCAGCTCACTTTATTGCTTGATTTTGTGTGTGTGTGTGTGTGTGTGTGTGTGTGTGTGTGTGTGTGTGTGTGTACTCCTGGTGGGTAGAGGTGAAACTGTGAAAAACTGAAAAACAAATACATATTTTTCTCACTTCCTCTGATCTCTCTCTGTCGATGGTATCTGGGTCCACACACACACCTGCTTAGTTAACAGAAAGCAATTAAGAAGATATGCATGGTTAGTTTTTACTTTATGTATAATAGATTGTAGCATGTTTTCAAAGCAAGGAGACTGTGAAATGTTGCATATGAACATGTTATGTATGTATTGCAGTGCAGATCTGATTGGTTGAACACTATGACAATCAACAACATCGTCCCCATTCACTTAAACTGCACATGGATGCACGTGTGAGTGTGCAGGCCTCTGCCTCTCTTCTTACCAAGAGACACAGAGGTGAGATCTGATTGGATAAAATCTCTACTTAAAACAAGCTGCACTGGAAGCAGAGCAACTGAGGAAGTGTTGGAGCTAGATCTTTTCAGGGGAGACCCAGACCGCTGGACTTTCGCTGCTGCAAACCTTCGGCAGCGAAGTCGCACCAAAAATGAACTGGATCCGGTTTACAATCAAACAGTTGCAAACTGGATTACTCTATCGATATCAATATGTCCCGTGGGGCAGAGTTCTCACAAGGCCCACCTAATAGGCCAGCCCAGCTGATCAACTACACAGAGTGGTAACGGCGCGACCTCTAGCCAAAACCCTCTGGAACTATCTTATATTTAAAAGTCCCTCTCCCAAAGTTTAAATGTCCAGTATCAGCCTCTGTGATTGGCCGATATTCAATAGCCCCTCCTGGCTTCGGGCAGTTATCATCTCAGTGTTTGGTTGAAGTCGTCCGGACTCCTCCTCTGGTCCTGGTGCGCTCTACAATGCCTGTCTCTAAATCACTATCTGTCCCTTGGCTATTCTTCACAGTTTAATACATTCAATGATTGTCTTTTATGGCTTAACACTTCTATGATAAACATACTGTAAACATATTATACATTCCATAAATAAATATATTGTGACTTAACATATTTTGACATTCTTATTATTGTGACACATCATACTAATAATGTTTTTAATACTGAAATCCTCCACAGAAGACAGTAGCTGTGCAATGAGAAAATAAGATAATGGGGAAAGTAGTGTATTTAAGAACAAATATTAAATGATAAAATAGCTATAACTTTGTGATTCTGTTTAGGCCAGCAGTGAAGGCCTTGAAGGCCCCGACAGCCCACCACTGGTGTATTGTCAGATTAGGCTCTTAGACTCTGTGGCCTGTCATAGCGATATTCTAGTTACAGTGCGTGTAAGAGGTGGAACTTTAACACTTGGTCTCTTTTCACCACAGAAACGTAGCCACCCGTAACTAAGCAGGTTTGCTTGAAACCCGCATTCTCTCTAGTGTCCAGCAGGGGGCGACTCCACTGACTCTACTTCTCTCTTGATTTATTACCTCAGTAAACATTGTAAACATGAGTTTATGGTCTCAATCTCTAGTTTCAAGTCTTCTTCAATACAGCATGATGTTCATTTAGTAAATTATGGTCCATTTAGAGTCAAACAGACCATAAAGCAGGGGATGCTTTAGGGCGGGGCTACATGGTGATTGACAGGTCGCTACCAGTGCGTTGTCCGGTCTGGAGGTTTCACCCTTTCGCAGTGTGTTTATAGTTGGAGCAAACACTCTAACTTGTATGCATTCTTTGGTCGGTTGGTGGAGTTCAGTTGTGGGACAGACAACAATTGAAAAGTCTAGTAAACTTATTTGTTTCGCACTTATAATTTTTTAGAATACAGCAAATAAAAAACACCAACGTTACCGTAATATTACTGGGAAATGTAAACTATGTACTCCCCAACACAATGATCTTTACTTCGCGTAGACAAATGCAGAATAAGGCAGCAAAACACATATGTTGGGTATTCCAAATCAGAATATTGCCTGTATATTGAAAGAACCTTCCTTGCAGTGCTTATAAAAACCCATGTTCTGCGTTTTTTTAACTCTGTATTTGTCATCTAGCAAACCAGTCACCAAAAGTACCTTGGTACCAGGCGAGTTGATTGGTTGATTTAACTCCTGTCAGGAGGCGGGTTCAAAACGGAAGCAAAAACAAATGTATATGTACTACATGCAAGTATAATATAACAGCCATGCAAACGTGTCTGAGCAACCCTCGAGCACTTTCCCTCACATGCAGCCTGGAGAAGCATATTTCCATCTTTCAGCTGTGGGAGTGTTGAGAGTCAAGTGTTTCACCATAAATGAATAAATAAATATCAGATAGGGTAACATAAGTATATATATATATATGGTATGCGGCCATCACTGTAACTAAACTTGATATCCACATTTACACAACAACTGTTAAAGGGCCAGAGTGAAAGGATTTCGGGGGGTCGATAAGCAGACATGGAAGATAATATTTATATGTTTTCATTAGTGAAAAATCACCTGAAACTAAGAATCACTGTGTTTCCGTTAGAATAAGCCTTTCATATCCACACAGGGTCCTTTTTTACAGAATCCCCCAAGTTGCACCGCCATCTTCTATGGTAGCCTAGAACGGACAAACCAGACATTGTGTCTAGAGAGAGACTTTCGTGGTTTTACGTTACCCAAAGGCCGCAGTAGTTCTTTGAATGTGCGGTAACGTGAGCCGCAGAGTGCAAAATCGTGGTACTGCCAGCCGCCATCTGACTTCCGTTGCTCCTAAAGTAGTGCTATCATGGTATGGATGGCCTCTGAGTGAGGCAAGCGGTGTTACCACGGTTTAGCACTCGGGGGACTCACCTAAACACAGGAGTGAGTGGAGAGATAGTCCTGCCAACACAGAGCTAGATTCCACGAAATCCTACACACTGTACCTTTAATAATATGAACTTTATTTATATAGCACCTTTAAAAACATACTTTACAAAGTGCTTTGACAGACAAAGCAGCAAAAGCAAGGCGATAAAGGCAAACAAATAAGCAATAAAAATCAACTACATAACCTCCAGCTGAGCTAAACTCTTCCCAACTTTTCAGCTCTGACACAATGTGGCCTTTTCTTGTGAAATTGTGTTAGTCATGTCACTCGACTGTATCGTAAATAACTAATATTGTGTGGTGCGTATGGTATTGTTTGTATGAAGTCCGTAATGCTGCCCTGTCAATAGTCCCGGCCCTGTGTCATGATCACCTTTTCCAGGAAGGGTGGGGGTAAAATGCCAGATGTAGCGCACCAGATGATGATAACAGCAGTACTAATACTATTAGGAGGAAGGTGAGAATGGATCATCTAAAATGACAACAAGCACTTGATGTTAAAGAGAGGAAGTTCAAAGGCTTTGAAAACCAGGAGTGCAGCACGTGGTCTATTAGACTCTTCATAGCATGGTGCCAATGATGCCAATGAAGAAGACAAGGATGAAGATGACGACAGTGATCGTAATTATGAGTCAGGTCCATCAAACACCGGACACAAAGTAGTTTACCATCTTCACCAACACTGGAGTTACTGTTTTGTTTGTCGCCGTGTTTTGCATTATCTCATCTCCATCGTGATTATTTAGTTTGTGCTGAATCCATCCCGTCCATAGAGCTGCTCAGGGATGTACTTTGTCTACTGGCACCATCAAGTGGTATGAAATCTTCCCTGCAGCTCTGGTAAAACTGACGAAAGCCAGTTGTGTGCTGTCACTGTGTGTGAAATAAATGTTTGGATGCACTCAAATATAGAATAACTCAAATGAATCTGTGATGCTGCGTGGGACACGACTTCATGTTTGTTGTAACTCTGCTGTCTACTCTCCCAGGATATTGGAGCTTACCAGTGCCCAGTTGTCAGAAATGAAGCTAGAATTTTAAGGCCGGAGTGTAAAGAGAAACTTAGAAGGGAAGGAAACACTGGATTTGTGGCTGTGGAGCTCTGAGGGCTTGTCAGATGTATTACCTTTGCTCTGGCACACAGTGCCTGTGAAGGCCTGCCAACCAGCTGACCACCAAACATCAGACGTTCACACAAGGAGCTTTCCCTAAAGAACGTATCTGTTTTTCTCATCCCTTCGCTCCTTTCACCTCTTCTCTTTTTTTTAGGATTCTTTTTAATTCTCTTCCTCTTTTACATGTTTCTATTGCTCTTCAGTTCAACAGTTCTTCAGCACTTCTTTCATCTCTTCGTCTCATCTTTGTCTACATTTATTTTTATTTTCTCATCAGGAACAAACAGATGGCACAGTTTAATTTTAGTTAGTCTATATGCAAGATATTCAAGAGGGTTGTAACTTTTCTTTCACCAAAATAAGCCAACAACAACCATATCAGTTGAACGGTTAATTACATGAATGGCATCCACTCTGTGGAAACCTCTCATGTTCTTCCACTTTGAAAACAAAAATTATATTAAAAGACATGGCATTGCTCCCCTCTGTTGGTCTTCTTGTCAAATTGTTTTTTTATTCCTACATCGTGAAGGACTTGTTAGTCTCAGGCCAGCCTGCAGAGGGCGCCATTGTCCAGGGTTTGTCGCGTGCTTGTTCCTCACTGTGCGGAACCTTTTACAAATGTGTTTCCATTCGTTTTACTACGAGGTGACGCTTCCGTGCACTTCCGGGTCGTAGGTTACAGTACACATGTGAGAACTGAAGAAAGCAGACTCGGACCAGACTACAGCAGGTTTATCTTCAGGTATTGCTACTCATTTCTTTTTTTCTCCCCAGAACATTTAACGTGTGTGTGTCGCTAGCTTTCTGTCGCTACAGGCACAGAAACAGACCGGAAGTTAACGTTATATGCAGACTGTTACATTAGCTCGTGTTCCTGACGGTCCCTCGCGCGTCTATGCACACTGACTTATAGACTACAGTGTGTCCCTACATCGTAACAAACCCACTGTACTACGTAGTCCAGACACACAGCCGTGTCTTCTCTCTGTTCAGATAAAGATGACACGGAAGCAGCGTGGTTCTTGGTGGGTTCATTCATGTGATAATGTGCATGGCTTTATTAACGGTTCTTGTTTATTTCAATCTTCATAAAGGATATGAATACACGAGGGAAACAAATAGTAACAAGAAAAGACGAAGAAGAGGAAAGGGGGTACTTACTTATTTGATTTATAAATATGTTTTTATGGCATTGTAGATGTTTCAGCATACAGTGAATATTGGGTTTCCTTTTTTAAGACCATTAGCATTTATGGGTATTTAACAAGATAAGATGAGACGATTTAAAAATACAGACACTGCTTATTTTCAGATAAATTTCCCAAAATGAAGAACATCTCTTTTCTGCTGAATTAATCTTCGTCCCACGTAACATATCAAATACATGTTCAACAAAGTTTTCAATGTAAAAGCATTTATAAAATAAATCATTTCTGCGCCAGCATTACAGAAAACACGGGATTCAGTGAGATTATTTCTATCTTGTTCATGTCTCTTGTATAATAAATCAACTTGAAACGTACCAAACTCCATCACAGTGACACATCATTTCTTTTATTCTTTGTCCAGTGGACAGGATGGACGGGAAAGTGAAGGAACAGAAGCGGCATCAGCAGAAGCACAGCGGGCCGAAGGCCGAGAGGAAGAAGCTCAAGAAGCAGGGAGGCTCCACGGAAGAGGATGCACGCAAACGCAACCCCAAAGCGTTCGCGGTGCAGTCCGCCGTCCGCATGGCCAAGACGTTCCACAGGTCAGTGCTGCTGCACACGTCTGTCCCCTGAGAGTCAATTCTATTGTTCTTCATACTCTCTTCTAATAAGGGACACCGATTTGACATAATTAATTGAAAGTAGGAATAACTGATAATTAAGTAAATTGCAATAGTTGGAATAAACAAACTCTTCTTCGTGGGATTTTTTTTTCTTTTAGGTCCCAGGACATAAAGACCAAAAAACATCACGTCCCCCATGTAGACCGGACTCCCTTGGAACCCCCTCCAGTTGTGATTGTAGTAGTCGGGCCTCCCAAAGTGGGAAAAAGCACCCTGATCCGCTGCCTGATCAAAAATTTCACCCGACAGAAGCTTGGGGACATAACTGGACCTGTAACCATCGTCTCTGGTAAGTCTGGCCACTGATGTCTTCTGTAGATATGGTCGACTTCAATCGAGCGCTGCTGTTCGAGGGATAGTTCAGGTGTTTTGAAGCAGGCTTGCATGAGGTACTTCCATCAGACAGCCTGTTTGTGACGGGGAGCTGAAGCTGTTATTTATGCTCTCTTCAAAGCCACCAGGCTGGCTGCCTCGATCGGATAGTTTGTTTGTGTTATTGTTTGACTTTGGTGAATTGTAACGAACCAGAGTCGCACAATAACGCCAGCAAACGAACCCACCAAGGCCGCAGTCAACCAGCAGCTCCTGTGTTCTGTGAGGAGAGCATAGATGATACAATGGCTTCAGTTTCCCGTCCGAAGCGTCTGTCTGACGCAAAGTAAACCTGTAAAGATATTCTAACTATAGCAATATTACATCTTGTTTTAGGCGACAGCAGTACGTTGCTTTGCTCCTGTGCTGGTACTCCTGTCTGTTCCACCAAACTCCATCTCCTGTAGTAACACACTGACTGTGGAGAAGTAGCTCATACAAGCCCACTTCCAAACATGTGAACTATCCCTTAAGAAAGTTCACATGTTCCCTCTCGCAGTTTCCACAGAAAGCATTGACCTTCTTTGATTCAAGTGGCTGTTGTGTCCGTTTGCTTAACATTCATGACTCAAAAATAAATAATCATGTGTTCCGTTTTACTGCTGGAGTGCTCAATGGGTTGATTTTATTAAATGTTTCTATGGCCATCTGTTCACCATTAGTCTACTTTTTGGATTCTTTAGGAAAAAAGCGCCGCCTCACTTTCATGGAGTGCAGCAATGACATCAACACAATGATCGACCTCGCAAAAGTCGCCGACCTGGTGAGTTTCTCAATACACAAGACAAAAACCCATTTAATAAATGTCTGAAGGCTTGATTTAGATGTATTAGGGGGAATGAGCAGAGGAAGATCTTCTTTTTAAATTGTATTTTGGAGAATAAAGTCGAGATAATGTCAGTATATGTACTAAAATTCAATGTTTATTCTCGACATCTCAAAATGCAAAAAGATTCATTTGTTCTTATGTATGGCCCTGAAACGTTTCCATAGCAGTGAGAGGTGAAGCAGTATCGCAGAATATAAACACACTTATGCACATTGTTATATAATCAACTCTACACACTGTGTTGTCAGTAATCCCATTCTTTAACCCACTTGTTAACAGTACATGAAAAGAGGAAAGTCACTTAGCTGACGGACTAATAATCCGTTGATATAATACATGTAGATATAGATTAGAGAAGAGTCCAGAAGGCTGAATCATGTCATGAAGTTGAATTAAACGCGTTGTTTTCTCCTTCCAGGTGTTGATGCTGATCGACGCCAGCTTTGGCTTCGAGATGGAGACTTTTGAGTTCCTCAACATCTGCCAGGTGCACGGCTTCCCTCGCATCATGGGCGTGCTGACTCACCTGGACTCCTTCAAGAACAACAAGGTGCAGAGGAAGACCAAGAAGATCCTCAAGCATCGCTTCTGGACGGAGGTGTATCAGGTAAACACAACTTAATCACACCTCCGCTGCTCCAAATGCCCCCATCGCTCACACGCAGAGTCTTGCACATTAAAGCCATAACTTGAACTCACTGTGACGGTGTGACTGCGTGTCTTTGAACCCCGACAGGGCGCCAAGCTGTTCTATCTGTCTGGTGTGGTGTACGGTGAATATCAGACTCAGGAGGTGAAGAACCTCGGCCGCTTCATCTCGGTCATGAAGTTCCGTCCTCTGGTGTGGCAGACCTCCCACCCGTATGTGCTGGTCGACCGGTGAGTCTACCTGACACGGCTCACTTTAATGACAGATGTATGACATATGATTTTACACATCACATCTAATCTGTACTACGATGTGATGGAGAAGCTCATGGACAGCTTCTACACATGGTGTGTTATTGGTGAGGTTAATAGTGCACCTGTGTATGGATTTACTAATGTGCATTTAAATGTAACATTAAAACATCAGTCAGCAGCAGACTCTATCAAATGTACCAGATCAATGTAGTTTAGTCTTGATTTCATACTAACATGTTTGCCTCTAATGTTTACGCCCTACGTACATGAACAAGCCGTCTCTGCTCACTGAGAGTGTAGAACAACAAAAGTACAGAAAGCTAAACAGAGTCAGCTGACTGGCGTCATTGTGGACTTAAACACAGGTCTATTGTGGGACGGGTCTGCATCTAGCATCACTGGAATGACTTCATGACTTATTGCTCGGATCACACCCATCGTGTAACTCAACCTTCATCTGACCTCACACACACGGGTAAAGTTCTGTAACTGCATCTTGCATAGTTGTGACCATCGCGGTGACAGAATCTGCCCACAGACCATAGACTGCATATAAGAAGTGCATGTGGTCATTGCTACTAATACACACCACACATGTCATTCAGATCACCCACATGTACATGAGAATAGTGATCAGTTCTTTGGTTTCTTTGTAAAACAAAATTCAAACCGTGAACTACTGTATAAACCGTAGCACTCAGGAGTCCACAGGTGCATTTCTTTGATTAGTAAAATAGTCTTTGAACATATTTTACTGTATTATATTCTCTCTCTCTCTCTTGGCCTCCGTGGTGTTGAAAGACGCACACTTTCTTAACTGTTTTCTCATTCTTCCTATTCTTATTAATAAGAATAGTGATAAATAAAAGATAAATCAAGTGCTTTCTAAATGTTGCATCTGACATAAATACGAATTTTCATGTTGTTTTATGTTGGTGCCTCTCAGCACGGCGAACACGCTGGTGCACAGGGCCGATATGGATAATCTGACCCAGATTAATAATTGATTATTGATCACAGTTGAGTCTCTCCGCAAAGTCCGCTGCTGCGTTGAACGTGGTGGCGCTCTGTATACTCGGCTGGATTTTTGATTGTCTGTCGGTGTTTTCATTGTTCAAATGGTTTTGAAAGTGATCCCGACATCTGTTCATAGTTATGGTTGTTGCTGTGGACGTTACTGTCACAGCTCAATGCAACGGAGCCGTCGTTAATAGTGAAGGAGCAGTAACTGTGTAACCGATAGGTTGTCCTCTATTCATTCCAACAGTATGGAGGACTTAACTGACCCGGAGAGGCTGAGGACAGACCCCAAGTGTGACCGGACAGTGTCGCTCTATGGCTACCTGCGAGGGACACATTTGAAAAACAAAGGCCAGGTCCACATCCCAGGTCCATAAGCACAGAGCTACTTAACCACCAACGCCTCTTCTGCACCGGACACCAATGCCGTGTAAAGCAGGAAACGCTCCCGAGTAGCACTAATGAAACGTTTCCAGTAACATGTTTTTCCGTGGTCGCTCTCTGCAGGCGTAGGAGACTTTCAGGTGGCGGACGTGAACTTCCTGCCGGACCCGTGCGCCCTGCCAGGCGCTCAGAAGAAGAGAGCGCTGAACGAGAAGGAGCGTCTGCTCTACGCACCCATGGCTGGCGTCGGGGGGGTCGTGTACGACAAAGACGCAGTGTATATCGACCTTCCTGCTAGCCACGTCAATCAGCATCAGGTGTGTGTGTGTGTGTGTGTGTGTGTGTGTGTGTGTGTGTGTGAGTGTGAGTGAGAGAGAGAGATTGGCATAGATCAGTATGTTTTTTGCAGACGGCTGGTTTTGTGTGTTCGTAACTTCAAATGTGACCGTTTAAATGAGATTACAAGTACTGTTTTTCACTATTCCCCCCCCCCCCCCC